CTCAACCCGCTGCCCGTGGCCGTCTCCAGCCGCGGCAACGCGGAGGCCCTGGTCGCGCTGCTGGTGCTCGCCACCCTCTACTTCCTGGAGGGGGGGAGCGTAGGGAAGGCTGCGGTGTGCTACGGGCTGGCGGTGCACGTGAAAATATACCCGCTGAGCTACGCGCTGCCCATAGCACTCCACCTGCAGAGCGGGCCCTGCGGCCGGCGCGGGGCTGGGGGCACCGCGGGGGGCCGAAGGGCCGAGTTCACGTTTCTAGGGTACCTCTGGCAGCTGCTTGTAAAGATGCTGAGCCGCGACGTGCTGCTCTTTGGGACGGTGGCTGGAGCTGTGCTGGCTGCCCTGACTGTTGCGTTTTACCACCTCTACGGCTGGGGGGGTTTTGGGGCTGGGAGTTTTTGGAGCATGCCTACCTCTACCACCTCACCAGGAGGGATATCCGACACAACTTCTCTCCCTACTTCTACATGTTGTACTTGACTGCAGAGAGCGAATGGAGTTTTGCCCTGGGGCTCGCAGCTTTCCTGCCCCAGCTGCTTTTGCTCCTGGTTGCGTCCGTAGCGTTTTACAGAGATCTTGCTTTCTGTTGTTTCCTCCACACTGCTATTTTTGTGAGTTTTAACAAAGTGTGCACGTCCCAGTACTTCGTCTGGTATCTCTGCCTTTTGCCCCTCGTAATGCCTAGTGTTAAGATGTCCTGGCGGCGTGGCGTGCTGCTTCTCTTCCTGTGGTTTGTTGGACAAGGCCTGTGGCTCGCTCCCGCGTACTTTCTGGAGTTCAAAGGATGTAACACTTTTTTACTTGTATGGTTGGCAAGCTTGCTTTTCCTTTTTATTAATAGCCTCATAATTGTTCAGATTATTTCACATTACCAAAATGATGCGCAAGGTGCAAAAAAACTCAAACAGAAGTAATAAACAGGCCAAAATCCAGAAACGACACTACAGGTTTTGATAAGGCTTTTCACACCGCCAGCACTTAATATAACTACTATTTGTACACTGCAGGGAAGTATGTTGTATGTAAATGATGGTGTTTCAGGGCGGTGAGGGCACGGATTGGCCTTAACTGCCCTGAGACCAGTGTCTGCAGGTGTACCTGTCGCACACGTGGACCTTGAAACTGCGTTGTAACCTCCTCTCCAGTCCTTTCTCCTGCTGCTCCTGACTGGACTTCCTGGAAGAACCCTGGACTAGTTCATCTCTTACCATGTGGGTGGGCTCTGCTACCAGCACCCTTCTCCACCTGCCATCTCTGGACACGGTGTGATTGCGCCCTGGTCAGTGAGGGTATGGCCTATGCCGGGGTCACCCTCAGCACCCGCTTGTACCACCTTGTGTCATGGAGCAGCCCCAATCTTCTGACTCCCGGGCACTCTTTTCCTCATTATTACTCACTGAGGACTGAGGCCTCTGTTTAGGAAAGCACAGGAGATTATAAAGGGATGTTGGAGTTTGACAGTCTTGTACATTCCAGTAAGTGGGTGGGGTGTTTTGCAAGGGTTAATGAATAAATATAAGGCAATCACTTAATATGTACGCTGGGATTTATTTTTTCTTTTCACAGTAACATTTTAGCTGTACAGTGTTTGTGGCCTGTACCTGGCCTTTCTTCAGTGAAGTAGGAAGAAAAAGGTTTACTTCATCCTAGTCATTAACTCCTTGAAACTTTTAATTTATTTTAGAATAAACGCCCGCTTGTTCAGATACTTATTTTTGCCTTTTCAGTGAGAAACCACATCACAAGAGGTTTATCAGTCAGAAGTCTGGTGGCACAAGCCGCATTCACACACGGTTTCATTTTATATTAATCACCAAAACGTTCTGTGTGTGCTGTGAATATGTGAGGAGAAAGTGTCCTGTGTGGTTTTATCTTCGCAGTAGAGTCAGTGTTTCACCAGAAACTGAAAAGAAACCAGAAACTGAAAAGGCTCTTCTGTGCCAGTATCTTTATCCACCCCATCCCAGAGTGCAGGCAATAGCTCGTTCTCTCTTGAAACTGATCTTCTATTACCCGTTACACATTTTTCTGTTGCAAATAGCATGTTTTCTTCCCCCAAAGCATTGTTTCATCTCTAACAGACCTAATTATGCTGTTTCCAGACCTTCCCACTCTCCCTTTTTCCCTCCTGTAGGCAAAGAAAGCAAATGAAAGCTAAAAGGCATTTCCAGCTTCAAAAACCTTTCCAAAAAAAACCCCATGGCACTTTGAGTGTGTTCAGTACAGAACTGTAGTTTTGTTTTTTAGGTAAAAAGTAATTTCCTTATGACAAATACATTCTCAACTCATTAATATCTGCATCATTTTGAGGCCTTCAGAAGGCAAGTTCTGTGGCAGTGGGGGACTGAAGAGTACCTTCCGGTTGCAGGTCAATACCAGCCCCTCAGCAATGACTTGAGAAAGTCGTGCGTGAATAAGTTACAAAAAGGCTGTTGTACAAACTTAGATTTACAATCATCAGGTTACTAATCCAGTATGAGTCCCTCATTTTACAGTTGTTGTTTTGTCAGTAAGCTAGTCACCCAGATGTGTTTGGGATTTAGAAATAATTCAGTGACTCATAAAAAGCTGGATGGGAGAAATGAACTGAACAAGGTGAACAAGAGAGATATTTGAGACTTTAGATCTTGCAAATTGCTTTAGATAGTTAAATAGAATTGAATAACTTAAAAGGCATTAAATCAAAATAATTGTAGCCGAGCGCAGAGCAAGTTATAATTCATGAACAAGTCACAGTGATTAATTGTAAGGTCCTTAAAATTTACCAAATTCATTTCCTATGAAACGCTGCTTTTGATGGGGTTCAAATTCTTTTGCTTAGTAATTTCACATCCATGTATCTTCTGGTAATTAGGAACGGAACTGTCTGAATGCTAGCTTTCCTTCCCTTCCCTGGGTTGCAAAGTTGTAATGCTGTTTTTTTTTTTTTTTTTAAAAAAAAAAAATTTGAAGTGCCCAATGGAATGTGTCTGATTTGCACAAATTTACACATTGCACTAAAACTGGCCCTGAATTGCAAAGTCCAAGATGTGAAGGAGGAAGTGAAAAGAAGAGAAGAAGTATCAAGACAACTAACAGTTTTGCCTTGCTTTTTACACTTTAGCCTATTGTCCAAAGGCTCTTGGCTGGATTTACAGGTGGGCCTAGTCAAAGCTCCAGCATTTAACAATGATTTGCTGTAACATTTACAAATGGAGTAATTCAAATAATGAGGTAAACAAAAATATACTAATAAATGGTTCATTAAGTTTGAGTATGAACATGCTAAGTTGCTGTCTCTGACACAAGAACCATGTACTTAGGTAACCGCCCTGTCTGAGTTACTAGCATTGTATTGGCTCCTGTAATAGTAAAGGTGGCTACCTAAAAATAGTAATAATGCTCTAAAATGAGTTAATCAGTCTTTTTTTCAAGAAACCTTGAAGCTTTTATGTTTAACAGCAAGGGGAAATGCCAACATTTTTTCCTAAGGTTTTATAGAGAAAGCAAATGTTAAAGACAGTAAATCATGAGCAAATTGTTCCTTTTTTTTAGCTGAGAAGAAGACATCTATTTTAAAAGGGCCGCAAATATACAGAGTGAACACATGGAACTCAAAATTGAGTTTATATATTTCCCAAAGGCAGCTGCAGAATGCGTATCCTAATGGTGGCATCATTGTGGGATAGGTTTATCGTGAACTTATGACAAACCCTTTACTCAGACTGAAGCCCAACCACTGATGCAACTTCCTTGCTGAGGGGCATATTTACATGCACCATACTTAAAAGCTAAACATTTGCCTGCACGTGCACAGGCAAAAAGAAGGGTCCCCGTCACCTTGGAATAGCCTTTGAGAAAACATTATAACCTTTGAACAACATGATTTCTCAAAGCTGCCCTCTGCAAAAAAAAAGTTTCTTAAATGTTTCTTACATTCAGCACCCAAAATATCTAGTGACTTCAAAACCTGATTCACATAAATCTTGATGCACATGGAAAGTAAAAGCATATGCAGCAGGGATCTTGGGTTGGAACAGGCACGTTCAAGAGCCAGCTAATTCTGACTATATATGAAGGTGCCCATTTCACCAGTATCTTGATATTCTTCATTAAAACAATCTGCACCGGTCACATAATTTGTGTGGGAGCCTTGCTTCAGGCTTTATGTATGATGAATGAGGTCAGAGACTTATATTTTTTATGGGTAAAAGTATCACAAAGTTAAAAATGTCTCTTGATGAAGCAGTTCCTTTGTGTGTGTTTGGTGTTTTTTTTTTTTAATTACATATTGCATATTACAAATTGCATGCAATAAATCCATGCATTTGTTAACACCTTTTAAGTGTCTTTCTCACTGGACACTGCCCAGTATATACAAAGAAGACCGACATTTGTCCTTTTTTATGGTGTAGATCAATGGTAACTTGTTTCAGCAGAATTCTTCATGACTCTTTTTGGCACGTGCTGAGACAGGCACAGGCTTCTGCAGAAATCAGAGTTTGCTTGTTGGAGGCAATCTTGCTTAATGCTTAGATAAAGCTTTAGCTTCAGCCTCTTCTTATTCTTAGAGCTTAACTTTGAGTCTTTAACATTCTCTTCAGATAAAACGTTTCATAGCTTGCACGTAAAGAAATAGCAGATAAGAAATCCTCACTATTTCCTGTGGAAAATGCTGGGGAAGCAAGCTAGAACATCTGTGGAAGTAATACCTACAGGAAATGTCTGTATCTGGTTACGTATGAAGACAGAACATCAGTCTTGAAAACCAGCTGAGATGCAGGCAAATTGAGCAGCAAGCCCACGCTGTGAAACCTACGTTATTTATATAAGGGGTATTCTATCAAGTGTGCTTTCCCTTTTTACAGGAGGAAAAAGGGATCTTGATAGCAATTATCAGGCTGGGTGAACATAACTTTGCTTCCTTCTTGTTGCCGTGAGGGGCTCTATAGGATGCTACAGCCAACAATAGCGCTTGTGGGGTTGTACAGGTGTGACTTGTAATAACCTGTTCACAGGCAATATTGCTGGTGTCATGAGAGAGAGTATTAGTGAGCAGTCACTCTGAAACTGCTCTTTGAAGGTTAACTCAAGTAAAATCTGATCTCCGCTTCACAAGTCAGCAGCTGTGTTAATAAGGATGGTACTGTTTTGACAGTAATTTTCCAAGGAGAGCTGCACTCCGTGGCCCGTGTGCTTCCATCCTGTGCAGAAGAACATTAATTCAAATCCCCTGGTGATCTAACAGTCAACATTTTTTTAATCTATCCCATGTCCCTCCCACTGATCCAATAGATTGAATTAGCCAGGAAGCAGGCTTAGAAAATGAAGTGGAAAAAAAAGTATGATTATGATGCCGAATTTGCCCCAAAAGGCTAGATAGTAACTGCTCAGAGACCAAATTGTCAAGTCTGTAAGCAGGAGGTATTTATTAACAACGCGTTGGGAACCCCTCCAGGCCGCCCTGGACAAAGGGTTCCAACGGTTAACAATAAATGCAGCCCTTTTATACAAGTTTGAGCATAGGTCACATCATCTTTACATGCATATTCATATATAGGTGGAGTATAGGCGGAGTCTTTTATTTTGGGGAGTCTTCTGGTGGGAGTTCCTGTGCCTTCATCAGGGGCGGGGGTCGTCTTGTGAGTCTTTCTCGGGTTAAACTTTGAACTTTTCCTAATTTGGGTAGTTTCCTGGTGTACGTGGCATGGTCTCCGTGGCTTGGCAGAAGCTACTGGGTCGCACTGACATCATTGGTTTGATAAGTTACCCTGGTTGTTTGCTTTACGTGCTGCCCTTGGCTTGAGCAAAGTTTGTCTGTACTTTGTAATCCTGCTGACTGCCCAACTCGCAGTCGTCCTTGTGGTTTTTAGTGTTCTTTCCTGTTTATTACTTCCATGATTTCTTAATGCTAAGCCTTTTCATAGTGTCTTAC